GTGGCATATGTGGTTCTGTAAAAAAAAATGTGTGGATCTGAAGGGGTCTTAGAAAGGGACTCAAAAGAAAAATTATTTTCCTAGGAAAAACACCATACAGAATTTATCTGAGAGAAGGATGCACCTTTCTATCACTGCACTGGATAATCATCTGTCTTTGTTTATTACTGTCATGTAGGGGAGAATGAACTGGCAACTAATAATGTATTCAGTTTCTGAAACTTGATCAAGCAACAGAGTTAATCCCAAGTTAAAATTTAATAATAGCTTTTTTCCCAAAAAAAATCTGAATAAAAGTGCTTGATCAGACTCTGAGTATATCTAAGAGTGTATTTTCAAACAATTGTTTGGAGGTCTGGGAAGCTTGGTTGCCATGCTCCTAATGCAGAGAATATAGCAGATTCATAAGGAAACCCTGGAGCAAAACAGTTAATAATGTCATGTAAACATTTTCCATACAGAGGTCACATATAACTGACACACAGCACTGCCGATTTGATAAAACACTTTTGTAGACTAAAACAACATAAGCCAGCCTGTCACTCATTTGAGCCTTAGCCTCAAGGCTTATTTAAGATATAGAAATGAAAACGAAGTGTGCTTTTCTGATACTCTCTCCTGTTTCTCTTCCACTGGTGCTGGAAGGACCAGTAGGAGTTCAGTACATGTTGGAGGAAATTGTGGTACCTATTGGTGAATGACACTGCTATTTGTACTCTCTGCCCTACATGACCCAATCAATTCTTTGTTGCAATAAACACCACTGCCTGACTAAAAAAACCTAACCTCAGAAATACTGAACCCAAAATAAATGCCATTTGAACTAAATTGGCTTTGTTTGTTTGTTTGTTTGTTTGTTCATTAAAATTGTTCATAAGATTCCATTTCCTGAGGCAAACCAAGGGCAATAGAAGCAGAGATACTGCTAAACATAATCCTTGATGATTTTATATTAAAACATCAGTGCTTGGCTACACCCATACATCTTAATTGTGCTGCTCTACTCAAACATTCATATTAACAATTACAATCAGGAATTCATAAATATCAAACTTTACTAAAAAACCTACCTTCTATGTTTATCTTTATTGTATTACTACTTATACTTCATTGTATTGCTACTTATCAGGCACTGTACACCAGCTCAGGATTTAGAAATCATGAGTTTGCACCTGAACTTAGAATTTTGATTGATTTGACAGCAGACTACTTCTAACTCCTCATGTCTCTTGTAAAAAAGACCCATTCCCTGAGGGAAATATTGTGCCTTTGAAGTTAGCTATCTGGGTGAAGAGTTTCCTTGCTGTGACTATTACAATCTGCTTCTCAGGATACTTCTTCTGATTCAACATTATGACAAAAATAAGAATAAAATATTACTAAACTTGAACTGGTTGAGGCTGAAACAAGAGCATTTTTCTTAGTTCTTGCTATCATAGGAATCTAAAAAGGTTAAGATATCATCTTGCAGACTATTTGTCTAACCTACATCAGTGAAGAAAGCCACAGAGATGGCTGACTGATTTCTGAGCAAAATAAATGTTTTGTCAACCTACTCCATCTGTCTGAGGGACCACAAGCCCAAAAGACAATGCCAGGCTTCAGTTCTAGAAGGCTAAAAAAGTGCCAAAAACCTTACCAGGAAGAATAAAGCATGTCATGAAAACTGTTAGAAGATGATAGCTGTAGCTGGGTAGTGCACAGAACCCATAATTCTGCAGGACTAATTCTGCAATAGAAGCAGTATTCCCAAGCAGACAAGAGGGATGCACAAGGGCTGTCTACACAAACACCACTAAGAAGGGAGCAATGCCTACAACAGAAAAGGACTCATATAAGGTTGCTCTAAGTTGAGTAAACTCCTTCTCCAGATGATCCCTCAGCAATATTTGTGTCAGTGAAGGAAATCCCATCACTGGGCTGAAAGAAATGTGCTGAACATTTGACAATTATATGTTTCAATCTGTGCTAATTGCCTCGTCATCTATTGCATTATATCCTGAAGACTTTCATAATTTATTTAATGAAAATTAAGAGCAATGAGCAAGAGGGCTCCATTGTAGGGCTCAGTGGTTCTCAGAAAGAAATATCATTAAGAAGTCTTGAAAAATGAGGAAATTGATCCTAATGTGTTTTGGAAAAGAGTACATTTGTCAATGATGCCAGTTACCGAAAGCCAAAGGTATTGTCTAGATATACAACTTTTCTGTATAGACATAATGTTTTACAAGATCTGTAATCACCATTCTCTACTAGACCAACTTTTTTTTCAAAGTTAGCTTTTTGGGCACAGAGGCTCTTGTGTACATAAAACCTTGTCTTTGTTGTCCATCACTTGATAATGATGAGGATATAGTCATTATGAAAAACACAATGATGCATTTTCTTCAACTTTAGGCTTTTTGAAATCTGTATGTGAGGAATCTCAGGCAAAAAATAAAGGAGAAGGAGGCCTTTTTTTTGTCATCCTTATCACTGTTACAAACATTGTGATTGACTCCAGGTTGTCAGTTCATTTTGATCTTGGGGGTAAAGCCAAGTGAGTGGCCTGAATCTACTTTGGAACAGGATTTGACATCATTGTGAAAATTTGTCTTGACAATTGATCAGCCTTCACTTTGGCATGCATGATAAAATCATATTTGTGTTGTGCATAGAGCAGTGTGATTTTGAGTGGGGACCTCCTTACAAAAAGATAGAATCCCATACTCACAAATTTTATATCTTGGTGACTCCCTCTAGGGTGAACAAATCTGATTTCAGGGATTGTTGGCTTTTTGTGACAAAAAGGACAGAGAAATTAGCCTTAGACTGACATTGCAACACATTGATTTTGTCCGGTTTCAATCTGCATTTCATTATATTTTTATTTGTTCTAATGTTAAGTATAACTATAAAAACGAGCTTTGTCCCAGGAGATTCCTGTTTAGTAATGCACATAATTTTAAGGAAAAAATCACTAAAGAAATCATTATTCACATTAGACTGGTTGTAAAGTCATTAAATGATGGTTGTCCAAACATAATTACTAATGAGGGTTCGTTGATAATAAGCGTTTTCCTAATAAACTCTCTCAGGGATCAGCCGTCACGATAATGTTCCTCAATACCCCCATGTCAATTCTGAAGGAAAATACAGGCAGATTATACAGGCAGGGAGCTCAAAGATCAATCAGCAGTGAAAAGGAGCAGTCATTTACACTGTGGGGACCATTTGTGGGTCAGAGGGTGGGACAAGGAGAAAAGGGCTGTGTATAAACTATGAATGTGTTTTCCAGCTCTGGGTTCATATGTATCTTTTAGCAGTGATCACATGTATGGCTGCTTGGACGTCTCCCAAGCAGAAGGCCAGGAGAGACTTCTTGGCTTCCTCTTTCAAGCAGTCACCATCATGGCCTGGCCTGGAGGAACAGTGTAGGCAACAAGGGGAAGGGTGGTAGCTTTGAGAGTGGCCCTGGGTATGCGCTAAAAGGATGGGCTGAAGGAAAAAAGCTGATGCTGAGGATGTGGAACACTGATGCTTTTTCTCTTCTTTATTATCACTCCCATCTCAGCCTTAGGTCTAAAATTAGCAACACTTTTCCTTGCTGGTGGACTCAAATCTCAAAGGAGGGTGTGTGAAGAGGACACAGGCTGTTTCAAAACCTCGCAAGGGGAAGCAGAGGGGCAGGTGCTGATCTGTTCACTCTTGTGACCAGGGGCAGGACTCGAGGGAACAGCATGAAACAGAGTCAGGGGAGGTGTAGGCTGGATATCAGGAAAATGTCCTTTACTGAGCAGGTGTTTGGGCACTGGAACAGGCTCCCCAGGGAAGTGGCCACAGCACCAGCCTGGCAGAGCTCAGGAAGCATCTGGACACTGCTCTCGGGCACGTGGTGTGACTCCTGGGGTGTCCTATGCAGGGCTGAGTGTTGGACTCAATGATCCTGATGGGTCCCTTCCAACTCAGCATATTCTGTGATTTTAGTAAGATTTTAGGGCAGAGCTATCAGTAATGAAATGATGTCAAAATAGCAACACTCAAGTGCACCTTGAAAAAATAATCACCTTGAAAGAATAATGAGCCTTTTAAATCCTTTTCTGGTAATATTATAGCATATTATAATGATATAGTGATGTTTTATATCACTGTTATAGCATAACAGTGATATAAAACATCAGAAATATATGTAATTATACAAAGTTAGCTACATATTTCTAAAAGTTCTTTTAAAAAATGCAAACAAAACAAACAAGCAAAACCAAAAACCCCACACAATAAAAAACAAAAATAAAAAACAAAACAAAATAAAAATCCCAAAATATTGGAATATTTTAAATAGAGGGTGTTTTGATGTAATCTTGTATAATGTTCTGGGAAAAAAATTGAAATTATTTTTACTCATGCAAATAATGAAATTCTACAATTGTTTTCTAGAAAAAGAAACCTGTAAACAAAAAAAAAGTTCAAAGTTAAAAGAGACAACTAATATTTTAGGGCATCAATGAAAGTAGATACAGTATAATTTTTTGTTTGTTGTTGATAATCAGAAAATATCTCCACTTTGCACAAAATCATTTTGTATCAGGGAATGGGGCTCTGAGGAGCAATTGAAATCAAGTATACTTCACTAACAGCAACAAACAGCATGCAAGTTGTAGTAACTGCTGCAGTGAAACAGGATTAAGCAACATGAAGGAAGTCCCTGCATTACTTTGAGAAAGATTCCACTTTATTTTAAGGCGGATGTAAATCTGCAATTACTTCTGTCACTTTTGTAAAGTCGCTATGGCCACCAAAGGTCAACATCTTTTATCAGCATTCACATCTCATGTAAATTAACCAAATGCTCATTTTTCAGAATTACTAATATCAAAATAAACAGTACCTGACTGCATACAAGAAGGTTTTGTGCATGTGACTGTTCCATGAATTGTTTTTCCCATGTACAAATTAAAGTTAAAATCTACAGAAAGGGGGTGTTTTGCAGTAACTTATTTACATTTTTTAATAAATGTCTCCTAATGCTAAAAAACTATTTATTTCTGGGGAAATACAAGGTTGGACATCCAATGGAAATCTGTTTGCTAACAGGCCACATGGAACAAGATAAACATTTAATTATGTAATTTTGAAACTCCAGGAGAATCAGCAAAGCTGTAATTTGTCACGTTATTCTGGTTTTGAATACTTCATACAAAACTGTCTGATTATGTAAATGCAATCTGACTCTCATGTCAAAGGCATTTTTTCTTTTGAGCCAAAAAGGACAGATTTTCTCTCTAAGTATTGGAAGGTGGAAATTTTTCTGTGGAACCAATACTGCATTAGCAAAATCCACCCCTTTACAAAACACTGCAGGAGACTCTGCTGTGAACTAGTTGGGGTTTTTTTTGTCAAAAGACTAAAGTATTTCCATCTGCCTTCAGCCAGCGAGAGGTTATCCTAGGAATTACTTTATTGGAGACTGAATTGGAAATGATAGAACTGTTTGCTAAGGAACATATAACCTATAATTGATTTTACTCCCCTCAGTTTGAATAATACTTTCCTTTATCTAAAATGCATGAGTGCATTTACATCTGTGGCTCATTTTGGCACAAAACTACATTAAAGCTTCTCTCTGAAAATGAGCTGAAGTCTGCCCACATTGTTTACTGTCTTATCCTCCTTCTTCAAATATTAAATCAGTACCACAATCAATTTCAAACTATTAAGTTATAGACTTTAGTATTCTTGATGGATTGTTAGGTCATCCTGCTCAAAAGTGACACACAAAACCAAAAAAAATAAATAGACATGATAAATAAGTATGTTGTGATATATTTATGCAATTATGCTGGTGGGAGATGTGCTCAGTTATCAATTCTCCATAGTCTTTTTCAAATTTTATAATCATGGCTGACAAATACATGTCATAGAAAACTCTAATGAAGACTATAATCCAAATTATATGTACTAGTTTCTGGAATTTTTCTTAGCATTTTGGAATAATTACTGATCAAACATGTTTTTGAAGTTTCAGATTCGGCACATGAAAGACCTGACTTCACTCTAATGAGGAACAGCTTATTTTTAAAAAAATGAAATGTCCTAGTAACTGTGTGCAGTCCCCTTTAGTTCCCATCCTTATCCAAAAAACAAGATGCATGGAGTTCATTTGTGGAGAGAAGAATGATGTTACTATGTCCTGTACTCCTTGCAGATTCTGTTTCTTGCATGCTGCATTCCTACACGCTGAAGATGATTTGGGTTACTCTAACAAAGAAATGAAGCATTAATACAAGTTAATAGAATAGGGGGGGAAAAAAAAACCAAATAAACCCACAAAAATAAACCCACCAAACCCCAAACACATGAGTTCAGTACTAAGGTTCTCAATAAAACATTACATGTGTTGACTGAAGGGTCTTGCTCAGAGCTCTGACAGCTCAAACACTGTCACAGAGCAGTGGGTCAAGTACAGCCACAAGATTCATCTGCAGCATTCATGGAAGTCCTGGACGTTGCAGAAAAGGCGACTTGTTTGTGCTGCTGTTGACAAAGACCAGGGAGATCTGTTACCTGTGAGGAAGAGACCTCAAACTGAAGTGAGAGCAGAAAACATTTTGTAAGGTATTCTTAAAATGGATAGCAAAGAATCACAAGGACCACACTTCCTTGCGAACAAAGAAACGTAGTGAAAGTATTGCACTGTCATTTGTAGGGCATGTACAGATCCTGCAATGGTTCAAAAAATATTCATGAACTGCAAAAAATGCCTCTAAGAATTGAGAGAGAATGACTTTTAAGACCTCAATGACTTTAACATACTGAACAGAAGACTGAGAAGTGATTACACAGTATAATTATCTCTATGAGGAAAAAATACTAATAACAAGTATTAAAAAGTTTTTGAAACCAGCAGTGTAAAGTGCACCAATAACAAGGTTGAAAGCTAAGTCTTGTCATCCCCATTATTAAACAGGCAGAATATTTTAAATGGGAGGGTAGTTTACCTCCCATTTAACCAAAATGGTAATAGAGGAAGTAGCTGATTATCCATCTCTCATGGTCTTCAAGTTAACTATTCAAAGTAACCATATCTTGGGCTGCATCAAAATTAGCAGAGCCAGCAGGTGAAGGGAGGTGGTTTCCCCCACTATTCCACTGTCCTGGGATCCCACCTGAAGTACTGAGTCCAGCTCTGGGGCCCTCAGCAGACCAAAGGCATGGACCTATTGGAGTGAGTCCAGAGGAGAGTCATGAAGACGACCAGGGGGCTGGAAAACCACTATTATGAAGTCAGGCAGAGAGAGTTGGGACTATTAAGTCTGGAGAAGGGAAGGCTTTGGGGAGACCTTATAGGACCTTTCAGTACCTAAAGGTGGCCTGCAAGAAAGCTGGAGACAGGGTTTTAACAAGGGCATGGATTGATAGAACAAGAGGGAGTGGCTTTTAACTGAAAAATTCTTTACTCTTCAAGTTGTGAGGCACTGGCACAGGTTGTCCAAAGAATCTGTGGATGCCTTATCCCTGGAAGTGTTCGGTGTCAGGCTGGATGGATCTTTGAGCAATCTGTTACAGTGGAAGATGTCCCTGCCCATGGCAAGGAGGTTGGAACTGAATGACCTTTAAGGTCCCTTCTAATCCAAACCCTTCTACAGTTCTATCCTGCACTGAGTCACAAAAGAAATACAGCTTTATCATGAGGTAATTATAAAGAAAATGTTAGCAGGTACAAAACAGGCTTGTTTTTGTAATATCACTCTGGGAAATGACCAGACTATTTCAGGTGAAAAGAAAACATGCATAAACACAGAATCAGCTTGAAGCAGACTCCTTAAAGGGAAAGTTTTGCGAGGCTGCAGACAAATTAAATTAAGTCTTAATTATAAGTAGTAGTAAGACCTCATTCTTTTCAAACAACCTTTGGGTCTGACTAGTCTTCTGTATGGAAGGTTAGACAAAAACAACCTTCATATCTCAGTACTAAACAAAATTATTAACAGCATCTAATCATTGCTAAAGTGATTGCTTTCAAATATACACAGAATTAGTGTAGCTTCATAGCCATATTCAAACATATTTCTAGTAGCCTTGATTAAAATCTAAAATAAAAAAAATATTAGATTGAAAAAAAAAAAATGTTGTTCTTCATGACGACATTAACCTTTTAAAAATGCAACACAGCATTAAGAAAACTATCTGGTGTATTTCTTAGGCCAAAAGCAAATTGAAAGATTATGCAATTATAGGGATTGAGAAGGTAATTTAAATAGTAAAAATATACTTGGTTTTGAGAGCTTGAAAGTTTTTGAAAACCTTTTTTTTAGAATTTTTTCATTAGTGTGGTATAGAGGTAAAGTGCATGGTAGCTTTTACCTGTAAAATACAGAAATAGTTCTTAACCATGTCAAACATACCCACATGCAGTTAGAAATGCGCACTCATACACAGGGATAACATGCAAGCAAGACTTTGCCTTCATGTTTGCAAATTGCATTTTTCTTCCCTTCCCTCCCCTAAAATTCAACTGTTGTAATGAAAGCCTTATTAGATTTTCTACTTATTATTAACCTGGAGACCCTCCAGCCTCCTCCCTACTCTTTTTCTTATTCGTTTTTAAACTTCTGACCCGATGCAATCTGCCTGCAGGGGCAAATACAGTTATCTCCTTCTAAATTAAAATTGTAACTCATTTGGTACAGTTTACACAAGGCCTCAACTCTGACACATGCAATTACTATGAACATAGGAGGAACATGATTGCTGAGAGCCACCAGAAATAGAGTTTAATCAGAAAACATGGAGTTGTTCCAACAGATTTGTAATTTCACCACTTGCTATTCTTTTATGTTCCTGAGCGTTCAGATAATTAGATACACTATTTTTTTGCTTCCCAAGAGGCCAGTGAAAGCAAAATTCCTTCTTTTACATTAACGAGATGAAATTATAATACACAAAATCTATAACTTTTCTGTTGAAATGACAAATTCATACAACATTAATTTTAGTACTTACAAAATGTTACAAATAATTTGTTCTGTAATATCAGTGTGTATCACAAAATGTAGACTTAGGTGAATTAATCACCCATTCAGATGGATTACTCAGTCTGTCAGCTTTTACTCACATAAGAACCCCTAGGTAGCTCCCTTTGCCTATCTTAAAAGGCGGGGTTTTTTAAAAGTTCTTTAAAATATGAGGTTCATATTTTGTGCCATTGTTAGGGAATGATCCTCTGGTGTAGTGGGTCAGACTGTAGATCTGTTAGAAAAAATGGAGATGTTAGGAAGCAGATTCATAGCTTCCCTGATCTCTGCGCCTTTAATTCCTCTCTGAAAAATGGATTTTTAGTGTATTTGATCAAGTTTAGTGAAACACAGAGCTGAATCAACAAAGAGACATCACTCACTGTAATTAGAAAGGAAGATGAAGACTTCAACTACATATTGCCTTGCATGATGGCACCACATTCTTTCAAGGATAGGGGTGTTCATGACTCAGCTGCTTTTACAAGTAAAAACATCTGAACAGTAAATATAAATTAATAGACAAGTGCAACATTGCAGGGTTTTGCCGTCTTTTTACTGGGGTCTGAACGCATTCATCTTAATTATACTTTAATATCAAGTTCCCCAGGCTGATCGATGGGCCTCTGGGAGGACTGCAGGTCAAGTAGGGAGTAAGGTTACAGAAAAGGGCTACAAAAAATACTTTGGGTAAAGAAAATGCATGGCTGATTATGTGCTCTGTAGTACAAATGTGGTCCTGCAGCTCTGGCTGTTTTTTTCAAGAGGCCACCTGCTTTGTATTTCTCCTTTTATGTTAGCCATTAATTTTGCTGCCACAGGCACAATTCATACTTACAAGGTTGGAGGCTCAGACAAAAGCAGCTGCTGTTTCAAATAGCACTACTCCATTCCCAAGACAGCCAACTCAGCTGCAACAACATCAATGACGTGGATACACCAAATTCACCAAAAAATAGACTTTCTTCCCATCCTTAACACACTATTTTATGCTGCATACATAACAGCAAAGCAAATGCTTAAGGCTGGAAGGAAACAAAATGCAGATAATGCAAGTTTATGGAAAGAAAGAGTCTGGAAGGGAAACAGAAGCAAAGCAAAAGTTAAAAAAGAAAAGAAATTAAAAAAAAAAAAGAAAAAAAAAGAAAAAAGATTATACAAATACTGGTGATGAGGTTTCCAGCTTGTCTCAAGCAAACTTCTTGGTCTAGAAGCTTTTCTTGGTTTGTGAAAATATTTATTTGATAGTAGCAGTTACCCCATTTATAAAGAGATGGCAAAATAGAGAAATGTTGTATCATCCTGCTTGTTTAAGTGTGGGATGTCTGAGTCCACTGCAAAAGCAGATTTATTTTTCTTGACCCCAGGAACATGCTCTGAGCCACTGGGACACGCTGCCTTTCTGCAGCCTGTGCACCCCCAGCCCCCTCCCCAGTACCCCACACTCCTCTGGCTCTGTGGTAAAAGACAAAGCTCCTGCAGAGTTCTCTCAGATCTTAAAGAGTTTCTGACCTGAGACACGGCACTGGGCAACCTGTGCTTTTTTGTTTAAAGCCCATTTGGTTTTGTCTCAGCCCATTCTGAGAAAATCCAGCCCAGGGATCCCTGCACCACACTTCCACAGCTGAAAATGAAAGTAATGCAACTCAAAGCATCCCATTACTTTCACAGGCACAGCTCTTGAATTGCATTGATGTTGATACAAGGAGGCAGGAGCCTGCAGCCAGGAGCAGGACCAGGGAAGGAGAAGAGGAGAGAAAAGGACCACAGTAGCCCCGAGCAGTCTGCCATATGCTGCAGATAAGAAAACACCCCCCGAATCACCTGGAATTTAATCATGCCCTTGTGCACCAAGGAGAGTTAGAGCTTGGGAGCAGCTCTCCACTAACACATGGTGACAGCAAGGGCTCACAGTGAGTGGTTTTGCAATATCCTCAACAGAAAAGAGACTGATTGTTCCCTGTCCTGATCAGTACAGAAGCAAAAGCCATAAAATTCATTTAGTAGCAGCCACGCTCAAAACAGACAAAAGGAAGTGGCTCACCACAAGGCAGACAGAGAGAAACCTCTCGACTAAGAGGCTGCAGCTTCAAGAAGTGTGATGGACCTCAAACAGAATCTGCAGGAGCATTTAAAAAGTCCTAAGTGTTGCAAAAGAGACCACAGCAGATTCAAGAAACACCTGGGGAAGTTTGAAAGTTTAAACAGGAAGTATTTTATAGATTTATTTTTTTTATTGTTCCCAAGCCACAGGATTTTGGACACTGTTGGAGACAGGATAATGGATTAGTTAGCCCATGATCTGTACCAGTCCAGCTACTCCTCTGCTCTTAAGACTGATATGTCCAACCAGTTAGCAGCAGCTGGGAGATTTCCAGGGCTGCAGCTAAACTACTGAGTTTGAGAGCTACACCAGGCTTATTCTCCAAAAATATGCTTAATCCCTTTTTTTTTTTTAACCTGGTTTCCATATTGTCTTGCAACAATAATTCCAAACTCTATTTAGAAACTGTGTATAGAGGCACTTCATCTTTGTTACTTTTAATAGGT